GGTCCAGGCCAGTCTATTTATGCAGCCTCTCCTCCTTTGGCCTTTGTTTTCAGGCCTGCTTGTCCAGCCTTCTGGTCAATTCTGAGAACCATCTAATATCTTTCCAGTAAGTTCCTTTTTTGCTTAAGAGAGCCAGAATTGGTTCCTATTGTTCGATACTGAGAAACCCAGCAGATACAGATACTGAGTAATATTAGAGCAATACATGGTAAAGACTGAAAACATTGGTTCAAGAAGGGCATGGATATGTTCATGGCTAATGGATTTTTACCATTTACATCTCTATGTACAATTCTATTATTTTCATAATAAAATTTACTTTTATTACGCATTATAATAAAAGTACATTGTATGGAAAATCCTCTACCGTGGGCACCAGTGGCCCTTTTCCACTAGGGCAATGTGTCCTAAAAACTAATGACTCACTTCTAACAAACATAGGGCAAAAGTGATGGGATGTCACTTCCATGGTTGGGTTATAAAACACTGTAACTTTTGTCTTGCCAGGCTAACACGGGTGAAACCCCGTCCTCTACTAAAAAATACAAAAAACTGCCGGGGGGTGCGGGCAGCCTTGTAGTCCAGCTACTCGGAGGCCTGAGTGCCGGAGAATGGCGTGACCCAGGAGGCGGAAGCTTGGCGTGACTTGAGATCCGGCCATTGCACTCCCAGGCTGCGCGGCAAGAGCGAGACTTCCTGCCTCGAAAAAAAAAAAAACAAAAAATATTTTTGAAGACATAGAAAATGTTATGATTGCCTAAATGGAAAAGGAGTGCAATACAATATTAAGCACTGCCAAATCATTACCAGAAAAGACCATTGAAAGGACAAATTGTAAAATGTATTCCATAATGGCATTATAATGGCTTATTAAAAGGAATGTACTTTTTAATTATAATGCGTTAATAAAAGTAATTTTATTCTGAATATAGAATTGTACATAGAGATGTCAAATGTAAAAATCATTTAGCCAATGAAACAATTCATGCCCTTCTTGAACCAATGTTTTCAGTCTTTTACATGTATTGCTCTATATTACTACAGTATCTTGTATCTGCCGGTTTCTCAGTACGAACATAGGGAACCAATTCTGCTTCACTTAAGCAAAAAGGAACTTATGGAAGATTTAGATGTTCTCAGAATTGGACCAGAAGCTGGGGACAAGCAGGCTGAAAACAAGGCCAAAGGAGCGAGAGGCTGCATAAATAGACTGGCCTAGGACCCAGCCTGATCAATAGAAATCCACTTGCCAGATTTCACCTTCACACCTAGGACTCTCATTCTCTGACCTCCAGTCCTTTACACCATCATCACTCAAGTTTCAGAGTCGGTCCGGGCGCGTGGCTCAAAAGCCCTTGTCAATCCCAGCACTTTGGAGGGCTGAGACGGGCCGATTCACGGAGGCCAGGAGATCGAGCACCTACTCGGGCTAACACAGTTGAGATAACCCGGGTCTCTACTAAAATAATTACAAAATAACTAGGCCGGGCGATGAGTGGCGGCGCCTGTAGTTCCCAGCTACTCCGGAGGCTGGACCAGGGAATGACGTAACCCGGAGCGCGGACTTGCAGTGAGGCTGAGAGTCGGCCACTGCCCTCCAGCACCGGGCGACCAGAGTGAGACTCCGTCTCAAAAAAAAAAAAAAAAAAAAGGTTTACAGAGTCACACAGCGGCTAGATTGGTGTGCCCCATGCCAAGAGTACACCAGCAAGGCAGGTTCCGGAAGCGTCTCAGGTCAGTAGCTGGTTACGAGAGATGGCTTTGCGTTATGTTAACTGTGCCAGCTCAGGGGGTGGCCTTGAGGGTAGCTGGACGCGCCTCGGACTGGTCCCTTCCCAACCGTGAGCAGTTTTCTGTGGCATCACTTTTCTTATTTCTGTTGCATGGATAAATGAAAACTGTTTGAGGAGAGCAGTTTGCCCTAGGTGGAAAGGCCACTTGGGTTGGGCCGCACGTAGGAGATTTTTTCGATTACTTAGGGGGAAAGATACATGGCAAAGGGTACGTGCTGGCAGCCTGTTTCAGTCCAGATCCGCAGTGAATATCCTTCTTACTGGAAATAGTTATGCCATGGTGTGCCCAAATCCATAGATGTGATTTTAGGTCTGATTAGTGGTATCTATTTGACGTGGCGTAAATATCCCCACATTTACATGTTAAAATAAAGGGTTGATGCCATGGCAGACATTTCGCTTTGTTGGGTAGATCTGGCGAGTTTACTGGTGCTCTGCTTCATCGTCTCATGGCATCAA